GACTATATCGAGAAGAAAGTGACAGTGGAAACGGTCTGAGAGAAAATGGTTTCAAAGAAAAGGGCTATACATTGTTCAAGGGCTACAAATTATGTTTCAGATCCACTTTTTTCTCCGAACTCGACCTCTTCGTAATAGACAATAATGATTTGTATCACTTCGGGAAATACAATTTGTTCTTTACAACAACTAGTTTCTAAACCTGTATCTACCTTAGTTGTTGATTTAATACTTGATGTCTAAAATTGATATTTCACTTACAACACATGTTGCCTTTCGACTTGAAAATATTTGAATAATTTTGAGACAATACGAGCAAATTTTTCATACACATTGCTGTCAGTAACCCACCTTGTTTCGTGTATATCGTCATTTTCCCCATAATGGTGTCTTCATTGTTTTCTGTAGCCACACACACATACATGTAGTCATCATACATGTCTTCTGTTTGAAACTTCAGTGTTGACTTATGACGGTACTGGACACAGGATGTCCCAGAACTGATTTGCACAGGTTCAGCAACTGATATAGCGTTTTGTACAGGATATGACGTGAAACTGTTGACGTCAGAGCTAGAAGGGCCGTACTTCCAGGTGAAGGTTAAATCTTTTGGTCCCTGTTGTTGCATTAACACATGTGTACTATATTTTATTTGTACTTAAATAATTATTTCATATACTTCTTCAGCCATAAAAATATTAATAAAAGATCAAATTCTATAAACATTGAACTCACGTTAACCCTACACAACAAAGTAACATTAGACCCTGCAGGATTGACTGACTCGTATGGTCCCAGTCCCTCTTCATACTGGGGTTCTAGCGTTAGGGACAGGGGAACTGCTCGGGCTGTTTGAAAATATTTCAATATATAAATACTTCTACATGACAAGCATTTTTTGTTAACGAAGTTATGCACTAAACATTCTGACATTACACAACATACTTTTCTTGTTGCAATATAAAAAATAATTTTTAAAGTTATGTTGTCCTGTAAAATACAATATATTTTATTCAATACACAGCTAATTGATAATTTGATTTTAAATCAATGCATGATTTGTGGCACGTAAACACCCACAGAAACATTTTTACATTAGCTGAAACAACTTACTGATGCTGGAGACATTTTGATACTGGAATGCTAGTATTGTGTCACCCACTGTATTTAAGTATGTAGCGTTACAGTAATACAAGCCAGCATCGGTACATTTAGCATCATAGACCATCATTTCTATTTTCATCGTGTTCCTGTTGTTTGGTGTATCTGATGTTCCTTGTTGGCTTCCACTAAAGTTAACAGTCCAATTCCTGGCGGGTGATGTTTGTGGTGGAAACTTTAATAAAATAATTGTGTGAAACGTGTTATGAAAAACTGATGTTTAGTGACAAAAAAATAATTCAAAAATATCATATTAAACATAGATTATGGATTGTAATTTGTTTGTATGTAACTACATCAAAGGTATTTAACCAAAATAAGCAGAGTATATTATAAAAGCGACACTTACACTACTATTATAAGGAGGTGGAAACAGCCTGTATCTCGCATATATTGTTGGTATTGCAGTCCCAGCTGTCCATCCTATGGCCAAAGATACAACAGTTGTAGCAGTTGATGGTACAGTAGCAAGTGACGCGTCACATGTCACAGTAAAAGTTCCTCCTTCCTCTATCACACTTGAGCTAACTATTGATTGACCATACGCTGGAAAAGATTTAAAAAGCTCCTAATTACAGTTGTAATTATAACTTTACAAATTTAAAACGTGGTTTTGTTTTGACAGATTTAAACTCAAAAACATATTTGGAAAAAAATGGCATTAATATATATACCATTTAAAGTTAAGGTGGTTTAGTGTTCAAACATTAATGTTTGTAAATAAATTCATATCTATATATTATAATAGACGATTCTTTAAGCGCAAGTTGAGATCAAATCATTAGGTGTGGTCAGCAAGTTGAGAAGTGCCAGCTGTCTCAGACCATCGAGAAAAGTGTTAAAATATCATTGTCTGGTTTAATAAGATTTACCTACCTATACATCTGACCGACATTCCTAATCCAATCCGAAATGTTGTAAAAGACCTGAAGTGTTTTAAACGTAAAGAACTTCCTTGTTCGATAAAGCTTTAAGTGTAATGACAATATCATGCAACTGTATTTTTAAGCCTTAAAATCTTACCTGTGAAATTCCCATACAAAAATAAATTAAATGCTAACTGAACCAACATGATCGATAAAGTAAACCAATATTTTTAATTATCAACACTATGTTGTGTTTCTTGCTGTACACATATATGTGATTAGATTATCCGTATATTCAAATATATTTGCAAGTTCTTTATCTAAAACTGAACAAGCAGTGTAAGTGATTTCACATTGAATAACAGGCTCTGGTCACAGGCTAGTTCACGCCGCGCACACGCGAAGCTTGACTACCCTTGAAATACACTTTATTGAAACAAAATTCTTAACGAAAACCTGCAACCATATACGTAGGCAGGTCATTTCAGCCTCTAGTCATTTACTCCAGTCACATCCCCTACCTCGTAAAAAATATTAAATTACCCCGGTCACTAGAGAAATTAATTTATTAATTGGGATAGGTTTAGGATAGACATAGACACAGACACACTACTTTCTACATTCAACTATCAACTATCATGACACTAAATTTCTCAAAATACAACTAGTCGTCCATGTTATATCCAATGATAAATTCTTGTAGCAGTTGCTGTTATACCAGAATGTTACTTTCCACAGTGAAAGATTCTAGCACCTCAGTTACAGCTGGGCTGACCATTGTTTGACCAGAAGTAGGATCATATTAAACCCTTATATCAGTAAAGTGATAATTGTTTTATTCAAACATACACTGATAGCTTTATGACCTTTGTCATTTAAAGTGTAGTCTACTTTCAATGGATGGAAAAATACAGTTTTGAAAATCCAGAAAAGATAATAATTTTTAAAACATTTTTTTACACTTTTAATATTTGATGAGCTATATTTGAGTGTGAAACTATAAAACTTCTGTCGATTATGTCTATAAGATAAGTATTCATTATGAAATTTGTTGATAATCGAACCATACTTTATACAAGTTGAAATGTATTATTTTGCTAAGTTTTGCGTACAAACATTTAAACTCTCGACATTCAAAAAATGACAAAGCAGTTGTATTTCTATTATAGAAACTAAAATTACTTTCTGGTAGAATAGTTAAAGACGGGTATTTATTTACAAATGAAAAATATCTTCAGCCAGTGTTAAATGTATGAAGCCATTACACGTCAGTTGTGAATGTATGCTTTAGCTCCTACAATGTACAACTGTATCTAAAATATTTATAAGCCGTATAACCTTACCTGTATTTAAATTCCATATTAATAAACAAATTATTCCCAACTGAATCAACATAATGAAGAAAGAAAAAAATCAACTATCAACACTGAGTGCTCGGTGTAAAACAATTCGTGTCCCTTACAAACGCCGGGCAAGTTTAAATATAGCACAAACGGCAGTGTCAAGTGGTAGCACTTAGTAGAGTCTCAGTTCACCTCAGGCGCGTCTACACCGTGTTACAAAAATGCTACAATTGACACCGAAGAGGATCAATACAGGCAAGACAAAATGGTACGTTTGTGAAAATGGCTTGTTCGCTTACTTAAACAAAATCTGCAATATACCTTAACTTTTTAAAAATTATTTTCTTTCACTTCATGCACGTAATAATCTATAATATTTTCAATCGTTTTACGTCACAGCTTGGCTGTATCGATTAAGGATCTTAAAGTTACATTTCAACCGTTTGCTCGATTTCCTCTCAACACATTTTTTTTATTTTGCACGTTGTGGAGTGGATGGATTTCATTTTATCTGTGGACCAATTGACTTTAAATTGATGGCAAAACAAATTGCAACCGCATTGCAATACAAAATATTTGTATGTGATTTCTATTAAATATTAGATCTTATGTTTTCTGTTAAATATTAGAGCTGATGTTTTCTATAATTTTTAATTACATGACTTGTGCATGTTTTCTGTTACTATATTAACGGAACTTCGTGGCTGTTTGGTACAGCGCACGATTTCTGAACCGAAAGTATCGGGTTCGGATGCCGGTTCGCGTCTGTAAGATTCCCTTGAGTCCACCCACCTTTGATGTTTACGTGACTCTCACTGCGGAAGGTTAATGCGGCATGGTATATTGCTGACCACAACAAACTTCATATAACGAGGTCACTGATATAGAAGATATATATTTTACGAGCCGACCCGCGGCGTATCATACGCCGCTATTTAGTTGTTTTTTTTTTTCTACCCTTCAGTAATTCATAATTTGTGAATTCGACAGTACCAATGCTGCCACAGAAAACATTTGCTTTTAAACACTAAAACCCTCCTTTTCACCAACCCCTACCCCACCCCCACTACCCCACCCACCACCCCTCGTGAATGCAGCCTCCTCTTAGTTACCTCCCCTAAGTTTAAAATCGTTTCAAACTAAATTATCTGCACCTAATAGCCGTCACTAAACCCATCTCTACGATTGTAAACATTTTGCGTGAACCACAGCTCACCAGACCATGTGGGGATGGGGGTGGTAGCGATACGCCTAGAGAGGAGGAGAGGCGACTGCTAGGCGCGTTTACAGCTTGGTGTTTTCTAGGGTCTCCAAGAAGAGAAATATATATATAGATTTGTCCCATAGATCGCAAGGTCCAAAAGAGTAAAAATATAAAACAATAATACATTTAAAATGTATGTGTTACATAATTGCTGAAATAATCGAATTCTTAAAATTCAGTTAACACCTCAATTTAACAATTAAATATACTAAAATCTTATTTAGTGATGTAGAGTATAAGAAAAGAAAATATGTAAGTTAAAACAACAAATGAATAAAGGCATGACAAATAAATAAAAATTTGATAAAGTAACAAGATTAAACCTAAATACAAATAGAATTTTTTTTTTTAAATTTCATTTTTTTTAAAAATTGTCTTCAGATTTGCCTAAACAATACATGTTTACAGGAATTTGTGTAAAGTAAATAATATTATCGCATTAATTTTTAAACATCGCATAGTTACGATTAGAAAGTAAACTACCTCTTTAAACTGATTACGTTCAAATATTCCACAATGGTAAAAAGTAATAAATAATTTTCATCTCAATTAAAAATCATAAGGTGCTTACAGATTTTTAGAGCAAACATATTTATTTGAATAGGGTGTTGAGTTTATTAAAAAAAAACGGAAAGAAAAAATATTATTCTAATTGTTTTAAAATAAAAGATTCAAATCCCAATAAAAATAATTGTAACTCATAGTTAATGTAGATAGATATAAAACATCCTCCATAACAATAATATTTTAAAATCTAAAAAAATAATAAGCAGACGATACGAAAATTTCATTCCTTAGATTTGATGGAGTGGTCATGAACTATGGCAGAGCGGTAGAGCGCTCGACTGCTAACCCGACACTCTCGAGTTCAGATCTCGGAAATACAGAGGACGTCCTTGAGTCTACCCAGCTCTGGTCGGTACCTAACTCATATGCCATGATCAAAGCATAGATGAACTCTACTATTAATCATCATGTCCGGAAAAGTTACTATATTATTAACACATACAATAGCACTCTGTTTAATAAAAATACTAGATATTGATAAAAAGAATATTTAAAAAAAAAAACAGCATGGCCTATATTTCACAAACATAAAACCAACAAGGGTCAAACTTTCATAATAACACAAATATAAGAAGTTAGGTCTAAAGAGAAAAAGAAACAAAAACAAGTGTGGTTAATTTAAAAACTGTGATCAGCGTTCCTGGAACAAGTCCTGGGGCTGCGTCCAATCCCCAGCCTACAGAATCAGAGGGTGAATCAAACGTAGCCGGAGTTGCTGTAAGTGAAACAATGTTGTACTTAAATCAAAAAACTTCACCGAGAAACAACCAACTACGTAAGCTGTAATTAGAAACACCAAAGCATTTAGTATACTTATTTTGTTTAGACATGTTCAGTATGTCGTTTGTGGCTGAGGTTATTTTAACTTATTGTTCTTGAACTAAAAGAAAAAAAATGTTTGAATGTCGATTCAGTAGCCCTCTTCATTCATCTTGTACCACTGGGATGTTGTTTGACTGGAGATGTTGTTACACTAAGGGTGTTGTTAGGCTGGGATGTTGATACACTAATGATGTTAGACTGGGATGTTTTTATACTAAGAATGTTGTTACACTGGGATTTTGTTAGACTGGGGATGTTGTTGCACTAAGGATGTTGTTAGACTGGGAAAGCTTTTACACTAAGGATGGTCTTATTTATGGGGATGTTGTTACCCTCGGGATGTTCTTGAAAAAGTTAAATTTACCACCTTTCCGGTGCCATCTATGGAGACGTATGAACAGGGAACATGATTTACCGTTGATGAGTATTGAGAATTAAAAGTAATAAGTATTTATGTTGGATTATAAAATATTGAAAAAAAAATAAAATTAATTAATTAGAAAAATATTTCTTGAGGATCTTTGAAATATGAGAGAAAATAATGTCCTTAGTTTATAGCTTTGCTTTTATAAAATAAACAGGTTTAGTTGCTAAAAATTAAAATCAAATACTGTCACATTTTAACATCAATTTACTGAAGAAAAAACGAAACATAAATCTAAGTATTCAACAGAATTTCTACTATTTCAGAGCAATTTGTGCAATAAAGAGTTTTTAAATCAATAAATTTAATATTGCTATTAACCTGGGAAAAAAGAGTAAATTTAATCATTTTTAATTATATTGGGATTTTACCTGGTTCAATGTATATCGTGATGTTCCCAACAATTGTGTCTTCATTGTTTTTTGTAGCCACACACAAATACATGTAGCCATCATACATGTCTTCTGTTTGAAACTTTAGTGTTGACGTATGACCGTACTGAACACATGTTTTCCCAGAACTGACCAGCACAGGTTCAGCAACTGATATATCGTTTTGTATAGGATATGACGTGAAACTGTTGACGTCAGAGCTAGAAGGGCCGTACTTCCAGGTGAAGGTTAGTTGTTTCGGACCCTGTTTAGCAGTTGTTCATATTTAGTAGTTACACATAGTTATCGTTAAACACTACATCATTTTTCAAACTTTTTATTTTAAGCAACAATAAATACTTTCACTCTAAATTGACATAAGGCTGGAGAAATCCAACTCACATTAACATTACAGATCAGAGTAACATCAGACCCTGCAGGATTGACTGACGCGTATGGGCCCAGTCCATCTTCATACTGGGGCACTAACACCAGGGACATAGGGACTGCTCGGGCTGTTAAACAAACAAATAACGGATTACACATATTAAAAGTTTTTTTGTTATACACAAAATATTACATTTAAAATGTCGATGTACTAAAACCATAGTTTGAGTACATACAACATGAGAATAATAAACAATTATTTTAGTCAAATACAAAGCGATAGAAGCAACAGAAAAGTAACATGATAAAAATGTCAAACGTCCTATAAATTTAGAATTACTAAGTAGCTAATAAATCTTCAACCACTTACTGATGCTGGTGACATTCTGAGACTGATATGTTGATAATATATCACCCACTGGACTGAAGTATGTAGCGTTACAGTAAAACAAGCCAGCATCTGTACATTTAGCATCATAGACCACCATTTCTATTTTCATCGTGTTCCTGTTGTTTGGTGTACTTGATTTTCCTTGTTGGCTTCCACTAAAGTTAAAAGTCCAATTTCTGGCGGGTGATGTTTGCGGGGGAAACTGTTCAAAAGTTGTTAAAATATTTTCGAACGAAATATTTTGTCATATTTTATTTAAGACGTAAACGCTAAACTCTTAAAAGATCGATATTCTGTTTTGTGTTTAATAAATAAAATGTCAATTTAAGTAGTGAAATTATAAATTTCAATAAAGACCTAAACGTTTTTTTTTACTAATTCTAATATAAACTAGCAAGAAACCGACACATTTGTATTGCGATATAACTTCGTTAATATGCAGAGACGTTTAGAAAAGTAAATGAAAATGTATTTCAATAACTAGGCTCACGGAAGTAGTGTATGGTGTCGAAAACAGCCTGTATCTCGCAATGGTTGTTGGTAATGTTGTACCAGCTGCCCATCCTATGGCCAAAGACACAACAGTTGAAGCGGTTGTTGGAACACCAGCATGTGACGCGCCACATGTCACAGTAAAAGTTCCTCCCTCCTCTATAACATTCGGGCTGACGATTTTTTGACCATGAACTAAAAAATATTAATATTAAAACATAACAAATTTATTTTAAAATACACATACAACGGATTGCACTTTTATGCGGACTGAATGTTTGAACATTTCTTTTAGTTACAAAGGATTGAATATTGAAAGTTTTCCGTACCTTGTTCAATGTATATCGTGATGTTCCCAACAATTGTGTCTTCATTGTTTTCTGTAGCCACACACACATACATGTAGCCATCATACATGTCTTCTGTTTGAAACTTCAGGGTTGACGTATGACGGTACTGGACACAGGTTGTCCCAGAACTGATTTGAACAGGTTCAGCAACTGATATATCGTTTTGTACAGGATATGGCGTGAAACTGTTGACCTCAGAGCTAGAAAGGCCGTACTTCCAGGTAAAGGTTAGTTGTTTCGGACCCTGTTTAGCAGTTGTTCATATTTAGTAGTTACACATAGTTATCGTTAAACACTACATCATTTTTCAAACATTTTATTTTAAGCAACAATATGGAGAAATCCAACTCACATTAACATTACAGATTAGAGTAACATCAGACCCTGCAGGATTGACTGACGCGTATGGGCCCAGTCCATCTTCATACTGGGGCACTAACACCAGGGACATAGGGACTGCTCGGGCTGTTAAACAAACAAATAACGGATTACACATATTAAAAGTTTTTTTGTTATACACAAAATATTACATTTAAAATGTCGATGTACTAAAACCATAGTTTGAGTACATACAACATGAGAATAATAAACAATTATTTTAGTCAAATACAAAGCGATAGAAGCAACAGAAAAGTAACATGATAAAAATGTCAAACGTCCTATAAATTTAGAATTACTAAGTAGCTAATAAATCTTCAACCACTTACTGATGCTGGTGACATTCTGAGACTGATATGTTGATAATATATCACCCACTGGACTGAAGTATGTAGCGTTACAGTAAAACAAGCCAGCATCTGTACATTTAGCATCATAGACCACCATTTCTATTTTCATCGTGTTCCTGTTGTTTGGTGTACTTGATTTTCCTTGTTGGCTTCCACTAAAGTTAAAAGTCCAATTTCTGGCGGGTGATGTTTGCGGGGGAAACTGTTCAAAAGTTGTTAAAATATTTTCGAACGAAATATTTTGTCATATTTTATTTAAGACGTAAACGCTAAACTCTTAAAAGATCGATATTCTGTTTTGTGTTTAATAAATAAAATGTCAATTTAAGTAGTGAAATTATAAATTTCAATAAAGACCTAAACGTTTTTTTTTACTAATTCTAATATAAACTAGCAAGAAACCGACACATTTGTATTGCGATATAACTTCGTTAATATGCAGAGACGTTTAGAAAAGTAAATGAAAATGTATTTCAATAACTAGGCTCACGGAAGTAGTGTATGGTGTCGAAAACAGCCTGTATCTCGCAATGGTTGTTGGTAATGTTGTACCAGCTGCCCATCCTATGGCCAAAGACACAACAGTTGAAGCGGTTGTTGGAACACCAGCATGTGACGCGCCACATGTCACAGTAAAAGTTCCTCCCTCCTCTATAACATTCGGGCTGACGATTTTTTGACCATGAACTAAAAAATATTAATATTAAAACATAACAAATTTATTTTAAAATACACATACAACGGATTGCACTTTTATGCGGACTGAATGTTTGAACATTTCTTTTAGGTACAAAGGATTGAATATTGAAAGTTTTCGGTACAAAGAACTGAATATTGAATATAAGATTGTACAAAGGACAGAATATTAAGCTTTTTTTTCGGTACAACGGACTTAATAATGAACTTTTTTATACAGTGGATTGAATATTGAACATTGTATTGGTCCAAAGAATTAAATACTGAACGTTTTTAAATTAAAGAACTGAATATTGAACATTTTTTGTTAAAGGACTGAATATTGAACTTTTTTGTTAAAGAACTGAATATTGAACATTTTTTTGTTAAAGGACTGAATATTGAACATTTTTATTAAAGGACTGAATATTGAACATTTAATTCTTACCAAGGACTAAATATTGAACATTTTTCATACAAAAGACTTCATATTGGACATTTTTTGTATAAAGGACTGAATATTGAACATTTAGAGTGTTCTTTACTATAAATTATTTACTGATTATTTATACAGAGAATTTATTGACAAGATGGCGTCGAGGAGCTAAAAACTGTAAGCCTAACCCTGATGTTTATTCTCAAATCTTTAAAATCAATGTCTAGGCTTTCTGTATAATTGTTATTAAAATATACTGTGACCATGCTAAATAATATGTTTTGCAAGTATGGTTTCTTTGTTCTCCGTGTGCGTATGCGAATCTACACGCCTGACCTACACTTCTAAATAAAATCTAAATAGTATAAAGATACTTCAATTAATTGAACCATTAGTTCATTAAACGTTTTTACATCTGAGTTGAAAATGCAACAAGATAAATATTATATTTAAGTTAGGAGTTGGTATATGTATAAATATATTTTTGTACAAGTTGTTTTATAGAAAACAAATCACGCACATTTTAACTTAAGATAAAACAAGATTTTAAACCGAATCTTGTTCATGAGTTAGATAATTTGCACAATTTCATGGTTGGTGCGTTAGTTTATAACACTTCAATATATGTTTTTATATTTTAAAACTAGTTAACCTTACCTGAATACAAATTACTTGTAATAAATAGACAGAGAAGAGAATGGACCAACATGGTGAATGATTTAGCCAGACTGGTTTACCCAGTATCCAGACTGGTCTACCTGTCTGCAGGGTGTGTTGTACCAATCCCAGCAGCCATTCATGTGTGTATCCGTTTCAACGATTGTTTTCATATTTTTGGAAACCATTGTTTAGGGCCGTACCAGGTATCACGTGATTCATTTTGTCAAGGTGTCACAAGTGTATAGCGTGTCGTTTTTACAGAACATGGAGTGCACTGTATCATACCGGATCTAAATCTAAATATATATACTACTAAAACTCAAGTTTGTTTACATGTTTGAATGTTTATTTACTTGTTTTTTTGTTTGTTTGATCGTTTGTCTGATCGAGTATTGTAAATAGTTCTACTCATTATGGAGAGCTGTAAAATAGTATAAAGGTAGAGAACAATTTGTCTTTTCAGACAGACTGTTAATCACAAATTTATTTATAGACGTTAATTAATTTATTGATTTATTCATAGGTAGATTAACAACATTTTTTTTAAAAGATTAGAAAAAACACTAGACTCGACGAAACCGTGAAGTCACATTTTTTTGTTTACATTTTAGTACAATAAAATGGCGGCTTCCATCATAGGCCCATTCAAAAGTTTAACGCGTTCTAAATCTAATTTTCTGTCGGCTATAACTTTAACAATACGTCCGTTTGCTGTTTTTATTACGTTCCAACACTTATATAAATTTTCAACTGTCTTTTTCATTTGGTTTTACAATAAATTTCTCTAGCTCTACAATCTGACCAAGAAAGTTATTTATAGATCTAAAAATATTATGTGACCAAGCAAGTTATTTATAGATCTAGATCTAGACTCTAGGTGAAACAAAAGATTAATTAGATACATACCAAAGATAATTTAAATAAAAATACAATCCATTTTATAATCATAATACATTTTTTAGTCCTTAAATACTTGATATAAGTCTGTGTAATTTATCTATCTAGATCTAGATTCTAGATCTAGAATCTCTAGATTCTAGATCGAGATCTAGATCTAGCAAGAGTTACGCAAATACTAGATTCTAGACTTAAGCAAACGAGTCGTAGAATCTAGATCTAGATAATTCTATCTAGATCTAGATAATTTCAGACCTTCTTTATTTTATATAAATCTTTGTTTGGCTAATTTAAGATAAAATTTAATTTGAAAGTTACCACTACTAGACTTAGATCTAGATCTATGCGCGTAAATCAAGTTGCATAAGGAGACTCAAAGTATTAAACTATAGTATAAAAATTCATATGGACGTCTTGAGTAAATAGCTAAGTTGTTAGTGTATTCGGCTTTCATGCGGGTGGCACAGGTTCTAGACCAAAACGCCAATGATATATTTTTTTTCAATTTTTATTTTATTTTTTAGACGTGAATGATAAAGTTGCCTATCTGAACTTGGCAGGATACAGGGCAGGTGAAGTAGAGTTCATCTTTTTCTTTGTCCTAAGCATATGAAGGGATAGTGTGGTCAGAGACAGGCTCGGCTGGAATCGTTTTTTAAACGATAAAAACATGTTGTCTGAGACTTGGCGGGACACTGGGAAGGTGAGAAGGTGAAGTAGAGTTGAGTAGGTCACCTGTGACGTCAGTATATAAAGGGATAATCTGAAATCGGTGTTTTCGGTGTTTTTAAAAGATAAAAAACATATTTTTTAATGTGGGGGTCAGTTTTTTGGTGACGATAAGTGACACTGCAGTAGCGTAGCGAGGGGGATGGCGGGGGGCATATATCCCCGGGCGCCGACCTTAGGGGGCGCCAAAATGGGTTGGAAAAATAAATTGAAAGGTCGAGGGGGGTGCAAATCGAAATCTTGAGGGGGGTGCACATCAAAAGTTTGAGGGGGGGGGGGTTGCAAATCGAAATCTTGCGGGGGGGGGGGGGGTTCAAATCGAAAAGTTTGTCCCCGGACGCCGGGAAGGGTCGCTACGCCTCTGAGTGACAGACGTAATGTTTTTTTGATGGATGATCCCCGAAACCCACAGTTATCCAACGGATGACGGGTAGTCTAGTAAATTTTAAAATAGAACAATACCTTGAAAAGATTTGGGTTTTTATAAACTTAACTTTTATCTTTATAATGCGCATCTATCTAGTTAATAAAACAGCTAGTGTTGGATGTTTTAGATTGCTAAGGAAATTTATTCTTCACAATTATAATCTAATACATAACGTTAAAGAAAAATGACTAGAAAAATAACTATAATATGTAGGTCATAGTACAATTTAAAATCAACATAGCGAAGAATGTAAACATATTAATTTATAAAATTATTCGGTATTCAGTCTAAACCAACACACTTTACCGTTTAAAGAAACGTTCGCTTATTGGTTCTATAAAACAGTTTGCGGGTTAAAATGAATAGAATAAAACATCTGGCTGGGTAGTGTTGAGAGACTACTTACACGAGTCACAGGTCACACCTATATTATCTATACTCTCTCACAGGCGAGGTTCTATTCTTGGTTTTTCAGTGTATTAATAACACATGTAATGAGGAATTAAAAGTATTAAAACTGACTCGTTTAAATTGATTGTTATATCAGACTCATGCTACGTTGAAACGATTTCTAAATATGTTACCCTATTATTTTATTTAAATTTAAAGATCCTAATATATAAAACATCATGTGAGCACTTCTCTCGCTTTCTCTGTCTCCATGTTCCGAGGCTATGAGATAAGTATCTTTAGCGATAAATGGACAGCTTAAAAATACGGACTTTTGTTAAAAATAATATAGTGAATGTTATAACGTATAAATTAAACTTTATTTAAAGGAAAAAAAAGCATTTTCGAATGTAAAATCCCCTTTTTTAATTATGCAACCGGAAAAGTGTTTATGGTTGTGACAAGAACGCAATAAACAATGACGTCACATGCCACATGTTTCAAATACGGAAAGTACACAAACTAATGGCGTCAGCTTCCAATTTTAGAATATGCAGAAATGAACAATTTCATTCAAATTTGATTTAGATCTATAGATTTTTTATCAAGACGTACGCTATAAAATGTATACAATTTTCTCACTAAAAAATAGCACAAATTACTTTTAAAAAATAAAATAATATCATTGAGCATTAAAGTCTCTTAATCAGTGGGGGCATTTAATATAGTGATGTGTTGACTAATAATATTAAATTATTTCTTTGCTTTGTCACTAAAATCGTTCAACGTGTAGTAAAGCACATAGCGTGTTTACCATTAACTATCTTATATATTATTTTTCCAAACAAGGATAACAGTAACAAATATATAGGCCTATAATTCACGGGAAACAGGTACTCAGGGCTAGTTCAATATACAACTCGTTAATCAACAAATACGTCAGAAAAGAAATAAAAACTTTTTATATTTATTCGTTGAATTAAAAATATTTCAGATGTGGCCAGGACTATTTACACCGTCTGAAATATGCCCCAAAGCAAAGATTTCAATCCCATAGTATAGGAGTTCCCGGAACTATCTTTAACAATAAATTTAAACAACAAGGATATGTAAATGAAATTATATTTGGATTTCTTATAAAAGTGTAGCGTTCAGGGAAATATATTTGGGGCAAGCGACTATCCCGCTATTCGGGATAATCGAAATTTAATTGGCCTACAGAGTAACAGATATAAAATGTAGGCAAGTCATAATTACAAATATAACCAAAAAATGTGCTAACCTTAAAAAACAAAGATAAATGAGCGTGTAAATCTAAAAAAAAATTGAAAAAATAGCGGTTCATGAAACAGTTGTATTCATAGTTGCTTGATCAACATAAGGATATAAGTTGTGTCCCCTTCTATAAAAATCTGATGTTGTTTCAATACAATGAGATGTAGTCACTGAAATATTATTGTTTTATATATTATTGAACAGGAATGACATAAAAATAATTATGCCTCAATGTAAGCAAAAAAAAGCATTCATTACCTAATTAAGTTTTTAATCTATTAACAAGTAATCGATAACTAAATTAAAAGCGTATACAGAACGAAAATTACGTTTTAATGGCTCCTATTTGACGGACGCTTGTCCCTCTTGTTACATCGTGTCCTAATTGTGTAAAATCTCACAGGTTTCCCACCAAATGTATAAAGTCTCACAGGTTTTCCACCACACTTGACCTCTCATAGGTTTCCCACCTAAATTGTGACCTCTCACCGGTTTCATCGTAACACTGGCTGCTGTTTGTGCTGGAATTATCGCAATTAAATCGTTGAACTTTGATTTACACGTATTCAGCATTTTTTTAGGTTACAAAATATACAAATCAATGAATAAAACAAACTAATAAAAAATCTCACAGCAGTCAAAGAAAATGTGAGGCACAGGAGACTTTTAACGTATTTACGGGGAAGGAGTGAATCAGATAAGGTTTATTCGCAAACAATTGAAATGTAACGTATAACGTTTTAGTTAGCCTCATTGTAGACCCATTTTCATTAGCTTAATATATATATATATATATATATATATATATATATATATATATATATATATATATATATATATATATATATATATATATATATATATATATATATATATATATATATATATATATATATATACGTGTGTGTATGTGTGTGTGTAATTACTCTATTTTTTAAAATAGTTTTAACGAAAAAACGGAGTTTTACCCTGTTTAGTCTACATCGTCATATTCCTAACAGTTGTGTCTCTGTTGTTTTCTGTAGCCACACATACCTACATGTAGCCATCTTACTTGTCTTGAAACTTCAGTGTTGACGTATGACGGTACTGGACACATGTTTTCCAAGAACTGACCAGCACAGGTTCATCAACTGATATAGCGTTTTGTACAGGATATGATGTGAAACTGTTGACGTCAGAGCTAGAAGGGCCGTACTTCTAGGTGAAGGTTAGTTGTTTCGGACCCTGTTTTAATATTAGTTCATAATTTGAAAGTTTAAAATAGATTAATACCCAACTTAAGAAAATAGGAATGAAAATTTTCAACTCACATTAACTCAACAAATTAAATTAACATTAGACCCTATAAAATTGACTGACTCGTATGGATCCAGTCCTTCTTATCTGCTCGCGCTTTAAAAAGCATTAATATAATTAAATTACATTAAATTAAATTACAAGTCTTAATTAAAATCCAAATGTCGAATTTTTAAAAAATCTAAACCATACTCATAAATTATTATTCACATTACATCTAATGCTGCGAAGTAACTTACTTATGCTGGAGACATTTTGATAGTGAACTGTTGGTAATAATTCCTCGCTGAGCTAATGTAGGTAGCATTACAGAAATACAAGCCAGCATCTGTACATCTAGCATCATAGACCACCATTTCTATTTTCATCGTGTTCCTGTTGTTTGGTGTATCTGATGTTCCTTGTTGACTTCCACTAAAGTTAAAAGTCCAATTTCTGGCGGGTGATGACTGTGGTAGGAGCTGTTAAAAATTAATATTTTTTTTCTATAAAATAAAAACTAAAGCAACCTTTAATGATATTTAATTTAAAAAGTAATTGAAAAAACAGTTTTTGTGTTCATTAAAGATTTGTCAAACGTATATGTGAACGTCTGATAAAAGAATAGGGGTATAACAGGACATATTATATGATGAACTAATTTTTTTTGTGTTCAATACAAGCAAAGCTAGATCATGAATTAAATATTTTAAAATACCGTACATCATAGTATACTGAATTACTGTGTAGAAACACGTATAAAGGCAATTCTGCTTACAGTAGAATTGTATGGTGGGGGAAACAGCCTGTATCTCGCATAAGTTGTTGGTGATGCTGTCCATGCAGTCCACCCTATGAACAGTCCTGCTACAGTTAAAACATTTGTTGGTCAAAGATACGCTCGTTGTAGCGGTTGTTGGTACATCAGCATGTAGCGCGTCACTTGTCACAGTAAACGTTCCTCCCTCCTCTATCACATTCGTCCTGACAAATTTTGACCAAAAACTGAGACATCAAAACTAACAAACACGTCGAATATTTCTGTTAGATCGGGCCAGCAACTGTTAGCGCGTCAAGTTAAGGTGAGGTTAGCTGTCGCCTGGCCTTACTCTGGTCTATGTGTAAAAAAAACCACGTCTATAATTATATTTTAAGTAATAAAATAAATCTTTATACTACTAAAACTCAAGTTTATTTACATGTTTGAATATTTATTTTTTGTTTGTTTGTCTTATTTACTATTGTAAATGGTTCTACTCATCGTGAAGAGCTGTAAAATAGTATGTAGGTAGAGAACAATTTTTGTTTTAAGACAGATTGTTAATCACACATTTATTTAAAGACGTTAATTAATTTATTGATTTATTCATAGGTAGATTAACCACATTTTTTTAAAAGATTAGAAAAACCACTAGACTCGACGGAAACCGTGACGTCACAGTTTTTTGTTTACTTTTTAGTACAATAAAATGGCGGCTTCCATTATAGGCCTATTCAAAAGTTTAACGCGTTCTAAATCTAATTTTCTGTCGGCCATAACTTTAACAATACGTCCGTTTGCTGTTTTTATTACGTTCAAACACTTATATAAATTTTCAACTGCCTTTTTCATTTAGTTTTACAATAAATTTCTCTAGCTCTACAATCTGTGCAAGAAAGTTATTTATAGATCTAAAAATATAATGTGGCCAAGCAAGTTATTTATAGATCTAGATCTAGACTCTAGGTGAAACAAAATATTAATTAGATACATACCAAAGATTAATTAGATAAAAATACAATCAATTTTATAATCATAATACATTTTTAGTCCTTAAATACTTGATATAAATCTTTGTGATTTATCTATCTAGATCTAGATTTATCTAGCTAGAATAGGTCTAATGATTAGATCTAGATTCTAGATCTAGAACTTCTAGATCTAGCAAGAGTTACGCAAATACTAGACTTAAGCAAACGAGTCGTAGAATCTAGATAATTCTATCTAGATCTAGATAATTTCAGACCTTCATTATTTTATATTAATCTTTGTTTGGCTAATTAAAGATAAAATTTAATTTGAAAGTTACTACTACTAGACTTAGATTTAGATCTATGCGCGTAAATCAAGTTGCATAAGGAGACTCAAAGTATTAAAGTATAGTATAAAACGTCATCTGTGACGTCAGAGTTCAATAGCTAAGTTGGCGGGATACAGGGCAGGTGAAGTAGAGTTAATCTGTTTGTTTGTCCTAAGCATATGAAGGGATAGTGTGGTCAGAGACATGCTCGGCTGGGATCGTTTTTTTAAACGATAAAAACATGTTGTCTGAGACTTGGCGGGACACAGGGCAGGTGGATTAGGGTTGAGTAAGTCACCTGTGACGTCAGCATATGAAGGGATAGTCCGAAATCGGTGTTTTCGGTGTTTTTAAAAGATAAAAAACATATTTTTGAATGTGGGGTCTGTTTTTTTGTGACGATAAGTGACACTGCAGTAGCGTAGCGAGGGGGGGGGGCGGGGGACATATGTCACCGGGCGCCGACCTTAGGGGGCGCCAAAATGGGTTGGAAAAATAAATTGAAAGGTTGAGGGGGATCGAAAGTTTGAGGGGGGGGGTGCAAATCGAAAGTTTGAGGGGGGGGGGGTGCATATCGAAATCTTGCCGGTGGGGCGGGGGGCGGGGTTCAAATCGAAAAGTTTGTCCCCGGGCGCCGAAAAGGGTCGCTACGCCTCTGAGTGACAGACGTGATATCATTTATGGATGACCACCCCCCCCCCCGAAACCCACAGTTATCTAACTAGATAACGGGTAGTCTAGCTTAATCTAATGTTTGGTGAAACAAAGAGATAACGATCAAGGTGTTTTAACCATAATTTCAGTTAATTTGTTTCTTTTTTTTTCTTATTTTTAATAATGTTAGGAATGTAATTTGTCTATGTGACAGTAAAATAAATTGTAAAGTTCTAAGTAATAATAAAAGTGAGGAATGTCAATCAATAATAATAACAAAATGTCGCCCAATTCTTGCTGTAACAAACGTATATATTTATATATGGGGTCATCCATAAATGACGTCACACTCGTAGGGGGGAGGGGGGGTCCGTAATTTTGTGACGATGTGTGATGAGGGGGAGGGGGGGGGGGGGGTCAGATGTTGCGACGTCACATTTTTGCATTATAAAAAAGCAATGTTAGAAAACGAATTTCAGACGTTATTTCGCGTTTTAGATAACTTTTTTAATAAATTGTAATAGTTTAGACAAGATTTTGGAAAAATATCGATGTTTTTAAAAAATTCAACTGCAATTTTGAGGGGGTTGTAGGTTGAGGTGTGACGTCATTTTAGGGGGGGGTCTGGCTTTTTGTGACGACGTGTGACGGAGGGGAGGGGGGAGGTAAAAATCGTCAAAAAACAGCGTGACGTCATTTATGGATGACCCCTATGTGTGTTTGTGTGTGTTTGTGTGTATTTGGTTTTTATTGGATCTTAACGTCACATCTACACACCTGACCTACATGCTTTTAAAAAAATAATATTTTTTTTCGTGGTTAAATTTTATATCCGTGTTTAAGATTTGACGAAATAAAAATTATCGACGTTGTAACTTTTAAATTAGCAGGGTATTTTTTCAAGTTTTAAACATTTTCGTACGCGTGTAACGATTTTTTTAAGTATTTAAAATTAAAGCTTACAGCGTGATAGTTAGCTAACATAATTTTCGCATGAACTCATTTTGGTCTTTTTTTTTAATTTTTGTAATGACGCTTTTGAAATTAAAAACACTCACCTGTATAAGAGTTCGATATCACGAAAAGGCAAAAGGTAGAAAATAAAAAAAAAAACATGGTGAACGTATTAACCGAACTGGTTTAGCTGTCGACATGGTGTGTTGTGACAATTCCAGAATCCGCTCATGCGTGTCCTGGTTTCTAGGTTAGACCTGATGACACATCGAATCGACGGAAACAACTGAAACTTGTCTGATGAGATAGACTAGAGATGTGTAGCAAAACCAGACGTGATCTACATGTTATGATAAACATACATGCTATGTATGCAACAATTTCAACTCAAATCTATAATACCTAATACATAATATGTAAAAAAAATGTCACGCGATGTATATGCAAATAAAGGACTCGAATAAACTTTAATTTGAGAAAGGTTTGGATTCTTAAAACGGAAATGTGTAGTGGATTAACGGCTCGATTTCCAATTAGCTGAGCTTATGAAACTCGGGCAGAACCAAATAAACGAAAATATTTAGTCTGGTAAAATGTTGTGGTTTAATATCCATGTTACTCAGAATCCAGACAGTGATCTTAAAAAGCCAACTATAAACCCATCAGTGTCTTGTTTCAGTAAAACATAACATGACCAAAGCGTAGAAGATCCTTTGTCACCATCCTTGTCTGTATATTTTACTTTTAAACTAGGGGAATGTACTCTGTGAAATCCAATGCTTTAAGCAGCCCATCTTGAAAATGTCCAGATAGGATTTAGATTAACCAGATGTCGACTCTCACAGAAGTGAATCACCTTCAACAGATATAGTTTGTTGTTTGTTGTTTTTTTTATTTAGAAAATAGGCATACTTTAAATAGGGTTTTTTTTAATGTCCTTAATAAAAAATTGTTATTGTTTTTTTTTAATAATGATCATGAATTCAAGTAAAACAACAAAAACATTTAAATGAAATAACTGATTAAAATTAAATATAGACATTTTGAGTTACATTTTTGCATTGAGTCAATAAAACACAATTGTTTTCTTTAAAATGAAAATTTTGAATATACAGATTGCAGGATATTTACTTGAGGCTTTTTTATTCCAAATAATTAATTGTTTTTGACACAATAAATGAGTGATTAACATGGTAGATAATTGCTGAAACTTACAAAAACAATAGTTTGTTATATTATTATGAGTCAGAATCTTCTACTTCGTTCTTCGTCAACTGATTATGCGATATTAATTCCGATTTCAGCCTTCTTTTTTTTTTAAGTTTGGTTCCATAGCCTTTGTCCAACCAAGAACAAACAACAAGGCAGCAGTTGCTTGATTTTGGAGCTGTCTTTCCTAAAGAGCCTCATCTGCCCGAGGATTTGAACTCGAGTCGTTTCGGTTTAGCAACCTTGAGCTTAAATTAAGCATTTGAATATTGATGACCAGACGCAAGGTCATCAAGTGTGTCATAGATATCTAGGTCGGTGTTGAACTCATTTTTTGGTAGAAAATAGTTTTGACTGTCTTTGTTAACATTCGATGCTAAGGGGATCAAATAGTTTTGACTGTCTTTGTTAACATTCGATGCTGATGGGATCAAATAGTTTTGACTGTCTATGTTAACATTCGATGCTAATGGGATCAAATAGTTTTCACTGTCTTTGTTAACATTCGATGCTGAGTTTTGAGGAGCATTGTTTACATTCATCGTACGATTGTGTCGACCTGTTGTCGTGTTCTGGTAATTCTGATCACCAGCCACACGTTGTATGCTGTAGTGAGGGTCGTCAATAGAGCTGTAATAGTTCGGGGCAATCTGATCTATTACAGGTGTTGGGTAGGTAGCATCTGGTAGAGCGTTGTGTCTTGCTGTCTCTCTTACATCGATAGCCTGTAGATAGCCGTCGCTATCAGGTGGTGTAGGTAAAGTCCTTCTGGTGGTTGTTGTAGTAGGCTTGGGTTCACTTGCTTTCTTTGTGACACGATTTGGACACCCTAAACGTTATTCACAGATTAATAGGCAATTTATGTATCTATGTGATTGTTTGTCTGTGTGTATCTGTGTCTGTATGTCTGTGTGTCTATGTGTCTGTGTGTCTGTGTGTCTGTGACTGTGTCTGTACATGTGTACGTGTACGTGACGTGTACGTGTACGTGAAAGTGTATGTGTACGTGTACGTGTAGGTGTTAGTGTAGGTGTAGGTGTAGGTGTAGGTGTAGGTGTAGGTGTAGGTGTAGGTGTAGGTGTAGGTGTAGGTGTAGGTGTAGGTGTAGGTGTAGGTGTAGGTGTAGGTGTAGGTGTAGGTGTAGGTGTAGGTGTAGGTGTAGGTGTAGGTGTAGGTGTAGGTGTAGGTGTAGGTGTAGGTGTAGGTGTAGGTGTAGGTGTAGGTGTAGGTGTAGGTGTAGGTGTAGGTGTAGGTGTAGGTGTAGGTGTAGGTGTAGGTGTAGGTGTAGATGTAGGTGTAGGTGTAGGTGTAGGTGTAGGTGTAGGTGTAGGTGTAGTTGTAGGTGTAGGTGTAGGTGTAGGTGTAGGTGTAGATGCATGTGCATGTGCATGTACATGTGCATGTACATGTGCATGTGTATAAACAACCCGACCAACCTTTTCTCAAATTAACAACTACCACACCAACAACAGCTCCTACAACAACTACAGCAACAATTGGAAGAACGGAGTACAAGACGTTGACGCCATTCTTGTTGTTTTCTGATTCTGTACTTGGTGGCGCTGTGACTGAGGAATTAGTAAAAAGTATGCTAATCTGCCGTAAATTTAAGCAACGAAATATTCTCTTCTTTTAGTAGAGATTTGTATTGAACGATTTTATGCAGAAACTATTGTCAAAACATAATAAAATACATTGTTATGAAAAGCTTATGAAAATATTATTTTTCCAACAAAGTTATTCTACATAATATATGTTTTTAAAGTTGTTGCTTACCTTTTAACAACAACAGTCGTATACTATACAGTATAAACTGTTCTTTAAAATTAGATTGAAGGGTATTGGAAATTAAAATTATGTTAGTAAAAATTTTAGTAATTTGTTTACATAATTTAGTATAACGTGTATATATTTTGTAGAAAAACTGGTAACGTATTCAGTTGAAATAAACACAGACCCAAACACCCTAAATTCACCTTGTTGAGTGTATATAATTATGTTCCCAACAATTGTGTCTTCATTGTTTTCTGTAGCCACACACACATACATGTAGCCATCATACATGTCTTCTGTTTGAAACTTCAGTGTTGACGTATGACCGTACTGGACACAGGTTGTCCCAGAACTGATTTGAACAGGTTCATCGACTGATATAGCGTTTTGTACAGGATATGACGTGAAACTGTTGACGTCAGAGCGAGAAGGGCCGTACTTCCAGGTGAAGGTTAAAGCTTTTGGTCCCTGTTTTTTGACAAGTGTTTACAAACTAATTGTAAGTAATACAATCAGTAAAACAATGCTGCTTCAAAACTGAAACTACATATTAATATACCTAAAAACGATTCTAGTTCAAAAGTAAGTTCAAATCCAACTTACGTAAACCCTACAGGTCAAAGCAACATTAGACCCTGCAGGATTGACTGACTGGTAAGGACCCAGTCCCTCAGAATACTGGGGGTCTAAAGTCAGGGACATAGGAACTACCCGGGCTATGTGTAGAAAGTATTTTACATAAAAATATATCCATAATATTAACAGCATTATCTTTTTAATTAAGATACAAATTTAAAATAATTGGAAAAATAGATATATAATGTTTTTTGTGAGAAATTGAAAAAAATAAAGTTAAAACTTGTGTAATAATATCGGGACAGTGGCGTAGCGACCCTTCGCCCTCGATTTGCACCCCCCCCCCCTCGAACTTTTGATTTGCACCACCCCCTCTCAAGCTTTCAATTTGTTTTTCCAACCCATTTTGGCGCCCCCCCCCCCCTAATTTCGGTGCCCGGGTACATATGTCCCCCCGCCCCCCCCCCCCCCTCGCTACGCCACTGTATCGGGTGGTGGGGGGTCTGTAAAAATATAACTGCACAGAGCTGTTTATTAATTTTATAACAAGTAAATTTTCTAACAAATATGTCTCTAGAATCTAAACCAACTAACTGATGCCTGTCACAGTTTGATACTGCGCTGTTGGTGTTGCCTCTCCCACTGTATTTAAGTAAGTAGCGTTACAGAAATACAAGCCAGCATCTGTACATCTAGCATCATAGACCACCATTTCTATTTTCATCGTGTTCCTGTTGTTTGGTGTGGCAGATATTTCGCGTTGGCTTCCAGTGAAGTTAAAAGTCCAATTTCTGGCGGGTGATGTTTGTGGTGGAGACTGATGAAAAAAATGAAACAATTAAATTATAACCATTTTTTAATGATAAAGTGCATGCATAATTAAGAGAACGTCTAAAAACCACAAAGCACACAATGAACTGTAATAAGAGCTAGGTTCGATAGACAATAGCTCTCACATTAGAATTATAAGGAGATGGAAACAGCCTGTATCTCGCAAAAGTTGTTGGTACTGCTGTCCCAGCTGTCCATCCTATGACCAAGGACACAACAGTTGTAGCAGTTGTTGGTACACCAGCACGTGATGCGTCACATGTCACAGTAAAAGTCCCTCCCTCCTTTATCACACTTGCGCTGACCAATGTCTGACCATTTACTACAATGGAGAAATAATAATAATAATAATAATAATAATAATAATAATAATAATAATAATAATAATAATAATAATAATAATAATAATAATAATAATAATAATAATAATAATAATAATAATAATAATAATAATAATAATAATAATAATAATAATAATAATAATAATAATAATAATAATAATAATAATAATAATAATAATAATAATAATAATAATAATAATAATAATAATAATAATAATAATAATAATAATAATAATAATAATAATAATAATAATAATAATAATAATAATAATAATAAGTAAAACTTGAGTACCGCTCAAGAGACAACCAAGAAAAAAATCACTTGTTTCATTGAAGTTTAGATACATAAAATTATGATTATAATAGTGACAGATCTTCAGGTACCCTTTTTTAAAGTGCAACGATCCATGACAACTAGAGATACCGCATCGGGTAACACCCGTCCTAGTGGTGCCACAGAAAGTAATGAAGGCGAGGCCAGTTGTTTGTTTTCTTTAATAGCTAACTCTTTTTAGACAAAGACAACGCTACATTTAGAATGTGAAACTGAATATTGTTCTAAGATAACATGGTTTGTGTGACTAAAATCGTTGAAGTAGTAATTACAAAAGAATGTTCAATAGCAGGTGTGGCCATTTTTAAGAGAGATAGTTGGTCTTGTCAGCTTTGTAACAAGCCTCGTTTGATGTACGATTTTAAAGATAAATTTATTAGCATATAACAGTGTGACCTATGTTCCACAGCAAAGGAAGAAAAAATATTCTTAAGAGCATCTTGTGTTTTTATCTAACCTGTAGGGCCTTAATGTTTAGTACTTCCTGGTCCAATGTTAACAAGATTTGTTGTTTTTTTTTCTGATTTTTAATACCAAATTTTAAATATATTTTTAACATTTGTTTCTTTATTACGTGGTTTTATAACTAATACTAATATATTTGTAAAACCAGAATGTGTAAGTTAATAAATAAGTACATGTCTTAAGTGCTAAATACTTCGTCTTAGTGGGACGGGGCAGTCGAAAAGTAGAGCATACAACTGGTAACCTATTAGGCCGTAATGTTTACACTATATTACTACCTGGTTGAAAGGTAGCATGAATTATTTTTATTGTTCTACCACACAATATTTTTAAAAAACATTCGGGTATAATTGATTCAAGTTTAAAGTACCAAAATAACCAAAAAAATAAAAACTTGTATTTAACGTTATATAACTAAAGCAATCTAATGCCAACGTTAGTAAGCTCATAAATAACTGCTTTTTTAAATACTTAGTATTAGATTTCAAAGTACATTTTTATTATTTAGATCTTTAATTAAACGCCGTTAAACTTTACCTGCAATCGATTTCCATAAGAAGAAAAAACCAAAAACAAAATTACACAACATGTTTTGGAAAGTATTTCACTCAAGTCCACTGTGTGTGCAGTCAACTGGGCCTGTCGTGTGTCGCCCTCAAATGGTGGGTGACTCGACTGGTTTATGGGGTATAACCTGAGCTTTAGGATACATAAAACCAGGCTGGTGGGTGAAAATGTCTGATGTAACACAGCAGGTAGATGTTAGAGGCTTGACACACAACAGGGTAGATGTAAATAGTTTAGTGAGAGTATCTGCATTATTTCATAAGGGAACTAACTTGTCTTGTTTATTAAGGGAACTAACTTGTCTTCATTTCCAATGCCCAAACTTAAGGAAACTCAAAAATGAGGCCCTGTGATAAAATTAATTAACCAAGTTAACTCCACAAGTACGTGTAAATTTGCGGCACAAAAATGCTAATGACATGTACAGTGAAACAAAGAGAAAGTGCTAGTCAGGACCTGGTCAGTCTAAAGAAAGAGCTCGAGTCACAGGTTCCCCTCCCACCTCATAATATATACATTGATCTTTGTGTTTCGCGTGGTGTCTGATAATAATTCTTAGTGGTCATCTGGACCACGCATGTTGGCCCAGGCACGTGGTACTTGGCTGCTAAGTCAGGTGACCACCGGCCAGTCAGCTAATATAAGAGGAAAGTCTGGTGGAGGCAAGAGAGCAGGGGCGGTAACAATGTTCAGGTCTACCTGGTTCTTGCCACATATAAGGCTTAAATACACCAGACACACACTCAGACAGGATGACTTAATAAACAGACGTAAATATACTTGTATACGCAGCAGGATATTAAACAAACCGACCCCCCCACCCCCAGTCAATTACACCATTAAGATTTTTTTTCATTACCCCTACCTGTCTTTACCTTTCCCACTTATCATTCCCCCCAACCCTTTCAATGACCTTTTTATACTAATAACTCCACAGGTTTCTCTCTCCTCTTAACTGCTTTCTAGCTCTCTACGCTTGACAGCGCATGAATGTCCCTGAACATTACTGGTGCGCTGAATAAACTGGTGTACACCTTCAGGTATATGTTGTGTTGTATCAGTTTCATTTCCTCCTCCCCCCCCCCCCCCACTACAGGTACTAAATCTCAGTTAAATGTTGTGTTGCCTTCTATCACAGTTTCAACCCCCCCCCCCTCTCTCTACTACAGGCACTAACCTTCAGTAGGCGTAACCTCAACCACGTACCTACAGCAAAAGTGTTACAAAAAAACGAAATACATTTTTAAGTAAAATATCAACACGATTGTAATTATGGCAGTTTTACCCCCCATTATTAATATTTTTAACATAAAAATCTATCAACACGATTGTAATTATGGCAGTTCTACCCCCATTATTAATATTTTTAACATAAGAATCTATCAACACGTTTGTAATTTTGGCAGTTGTACCACCATTATTAATATTTTTAACATAAGAATCTATCAACACCTTTGTAATTATGACAGTTCTACCCCCATTATTAATATTTTAACATAAGAATTTATCAACACGTTTGTAATTATGTCAGTTCTACCCCCATTATTAATATTTTTAACATAAGAATTTATCAACACGTTTGTAATTATGGCAGTTCTACTCCCATTATTAATATTTTTAACATAAGAATCTATCAACACTTTTGTAATTATGGCAGTTCTACCCCCAGTCTTGATCAGTTCAAAAGGTTATTGAACCTAGCCGTGAAGTTAAGTGAAATATAAAATTGTGTTTTAATAAAATATTCAGCGTAGGGCTCATCAAAACCATAAGATTACGTACATATTTTATAGACCTATTTTTTTAAATTAAAGAGACAAGGGTTGTTTTTTTTCTTTTTAATCATTTTCGGTGCATTTAATATCTTTTTATTATAAAGGTTTTTTTTTTATTTTTTTTTGTTTAACTAAAGTTTGAATCTTTATTCTACAAATTTTAACGTATAGTGTTAGGTTTGTCGACTTTAAATAATTATTTGTTTCATGTAGAAATAATTAAAGGGTTGTGTTCTTTTGAGTGTTGATACCACTAAAATACAATAAAGAAAAATAATGATGGTTTAACTTAATTTTTTTTTACCTTTATAATAACGGTAATAACAGTAGGCACGGAGGCCTTTGTTTCACATTGACCTTTTATTTTATTTTTAAAACAAAACGTAATAACATTTTAATAATAATTGCAAGTCATATAATCTATAATGTATGTCTACAAAATCAGCAGCCAGTGACCAGACAAAATTGAATGTTATGGTTGATGCCCCACAAGGAATAGAGAGGATTGAGTAAAGTAATTTAAGTCATCTCATACACATGAGTCAAATTTAGGAGTCAAATATGCATTTGCTGTGTCGTTGTACGCTGTTTCTTCTGGTGTATCGTACACGTTTGTGTACTTGTTCAGTTCCTTCGTAGGAATACATTTGTTTTGTCTATCCGTGTTTAAAGTTGGTTGTGAATTTCGTGGCAAATTGTTGTAATGTATTGTTTGATTCTGTTGAAGACCATGGTCACCATCAACGCTGTCATTGGTGTAGTGATGGTCATCAATAGAGCTGTAGTGGTTTGTTTCACTCTGAACATTTTGGACATTCGGCTCTTTGGCAGATGTTGGATCTGTAGCACCATATGGGGCATCGTTTCCTGCTGTCTCTATCACCTGTACATAGCCCCCGCTGGCGTCATTAACCTGCACGTATCCATCGTTATCAGGTGGTGTAGGTAAAGTCCTTCTGGTGGTTGTTGTGACAGGCTTGGGTTCAGTTGGCTTCTTCGTGACTCGATTTGGACACCCTAAAGTTGTTTTGTAGATAAAGAAACAATTTAGTAATTTTCTTCGTAAATTATCGTGTGCTTTTTTATTTAAAGTAAAAATAATTACGAGGCTGATATCTAACTTTGATTGAATGAATAAAATAAATACATATTATCAAACAAGTCATATGTACGTATATTATCAAAACAAAACGACCAACCTTTTCTAAAGTAAACCACAAGTACAACAACACCTACACCGACAACAAAAACCACTGGAAGAATGTAGTACAACACTTTCACATCATTGTTGTTATCTAAGTAATGAGGAGAAATTTGCTCATTATTGTAGCAAAACAACTTACAAGAGACATTTCAACATTTTTTCATCAAAATAATTTTTTTCTGTCATAACAACAATTATGTGTATGTGATTTGTATGTTTGATAAATAAGTATAAATCCTATTTAGTTGAACTAAAAAAATGCACCAAAACACACACAAATTATAAACACTAACCCACCTTAAGGCTTATATTGTTTATGGATGTTTCCAAATTCTATTGAACAAATAGAACTTGAAAACGTGGTTGTTGAGCCAGAAAAGAAAACTTGTATTAATTTCTGAGGTCTTACACGTTAAATCAAATACGCTGTATCAGTTAAGATATACATTTCGAGGTGAGACGTATATTTGGGGTAAATCTAACACACAGTGGATATTTTATAAAACAAATACTCGTCAGTAAACTTAATTCTCATTGTTACTAGATATATGTGCAGCTTATCGCCGCTCACACTATTGTTACAGTGATTTTAAAATACGTTGGGCTAATGAACAGTTCCACATTTCGATTTTTTGTGTACTAAGATTTAACGAACCAATCAGTACCTGGTGTATATTCTTCTGGGACCGGAGATTGTGTAACTGTGAAAAATTAATTATTTAATCAATATGTATATCAAACGTTTAAACACATAAAGCATTAAAAAATAACTTCTTAAAAATTTCAAAGTTTTAAGTATCGCATAGCTCATCATCATAATCGAGGTGCTATTTTTCTAATGACAAATTAAGTTGCTAAATTTTAATAGCTTTGAAGATTTAAGGAAAATATTTATTTGTTAAATTTAATTTTAAAACGACAAAATAGCACAAATATCTAGCTATAATACATTTTTTTCTGGTTAAGTCTCAAACGTTCGAGTTATGCTTTTTTTTGCACGGATACATTTTGTACTGACTCCCGAACAAATAACTTTGATCACCTAGTTTACTGTATATCGTGATGTTCCCAACAATTGTGTCTATGTTGTTTTCTGTAGCCACACACACATACATGTAGCCATCATTCATATCTTCTGTTTGAAACTTCAGTGTTGACGTATGACGGTACTGGACACAGGTTGTCCCAGAACTGACCAGCACAGGTTCATCAACTGATATATCGTTTTGTACAGGATATCTCGTGAAATTGTTGACGTCAGAGCTAACAGGGCCGTACTTCCAGGTGAAGGTTAAAGCTTTTGGACCCTGTTTTTGCAGTAACACGAATTTATCAGATCTCAAATATTTAATTGTTTAATTAAGGGAAAATATTTCAGAGCTAGTCAGAGCTAGAAGGGCCCCATTCCAATCGAATATTAAAGCTTTTGGACTCTGCTGTTGAATTAATACATGTGTACACGATTTTAATTGCAAGAAAATAATTCTTCAATATACTTTTTCATTCTAAAAAAATTGATAAAAGACGTAGTTTTAAAAACTCACATTAACCCTACACGTGAGAGTAACATTAGACCCTGCAACATTGACTGACTGAAATGGACCAAGTTCCCCTTGATTCTGGGGAACTAACACCAAGGACACAGGTACTGCTCGGGCTGTTTGAAAATATTCCGACATACAAATATTTGGATATGAAGAGCATTATTTTTGGCTAAGTTATAATGTAAGTAATGAACATTACGACAATATAAAATATATTAATGTTTCTTGTTAGATTGTAAAAAAATAAACTTTAAAGTAATGTTATCCTATAATGGGCTATATATTATTTTATTTTAATACAAAAATTAACAAGATAATTTAATATATTAAATGCATAATTTATGACACGCAAAAACCCCACAGTAACACTTCTACAGTAGCTAAACAACCTACTGATGCTGGAGACATTTTGATACTGAAACGTTGATAATAATGCACCAGCTGAACTTGTGTAAGTAGCGTTACAGTAAAACAAGCCAGCATCTGTATATTTAGCATCATAGACCACCATTTCTATTTTCATCGTGTTCCTGTTGTTTTGGTGTATCTGATATCCCCTGTTGGCTCCC